CTCTCAGAAATGAGCATGTGGAGAGTCATTCATTCATCAATCACAATGGAAATTGGTTGCAGGAGAAACACTTACTCTGTTTTCTCAGTCTGTTTCCTAGTTCCGGTTTGAAGTTCTTGCAGTTTTGCCTGTAAATCCGAGTTGGAGCTAGTTGTTCCACATATGTATGTATGTAGTGTATCTTCCAACTGAAAAGAAACTTTGTGTTCCCAGCAAGCTAGGTGAAGAACGGCTTTCACACATACTTATCTCTCAAATGAGCATGTGGAGAGAAGTTCGTTCATCTAGCACAAATGGAAAGGTTTGCAGGAAAAACAAATTCTCTGGTTTCTCAGTCTGTTTCCTACTGCCGGTATGAAAATATTGCAGTTTTGACTGTAACAGAGTTGGAGCTAGTACATCCCCATATATGTGTAAGTAGTGTAGGTTTCTCTTAAAAGAACCTTTGTCTTCTGAACAAGCTAGGTCATGGACGAGTTTCACACACCCATATCTCACAGGACTGAGCATGTGGAGAGACGTTTGTTCATCTAGCACAAAGAAAATGGGTTGCAGGAGAAACAATTACTCAGGATTATAATTCTGCTTCATAGTGTCAGTTTTAATTTCCTGCATTTTTCTCTTTGAAACGAGTTGGAGCTAGTATCACCTGATATATATGTATGAAGTGTAGTTAGAAACTGAGAAGAAATTCTGTCTTCCAAACAAACTTCGTCTTGAATGGCATTCAAACTCACTTATCCCTCAGAAAAGAGCATGTGGAGAGTAGTTCATTCATCAATCAAAATGGGGTTTGGTTGCAGGAGAAACAATTACTCTGGTTTCTCAGTTTGTTTCCTAGTGCTGGTTTGATATTCCTGCATTTTTCTTTGTAAATCCATGTTGGAGCTAGTACTTCCTCATATATATGTATTAAGTGTATTTTCTTATTGAAAAGAACTTTGTGTTCCCAACAAGCTAGTTGAATTTTGGCTTTCATACACACATATGTCTCAGAAATGAGCATGTTGAGTGACGTATGTTCATCTAGCACAAAAGGAACTGGCTCCAGGTAGAACAATTATTCTGGTTTCTCAGTCTGTTTCCTTGTGCTGGTTTGAAGTTCCTGTATTTTTCACTTTAAAACCAAGTTGGTGTTAGTTACTCCCCAAATATATGAAGATAAAGTTGTATCCTACTGTAAAGAATCATTGTGTTCCCAACAACCTAGGTGAAGTAAGGCTTTAACATACACAGATCTCTCAGAATTGAGCATGTGGAGAGACGTTCGTTCATCTAGCACATAGGGAATGGTTTGCAGGGGAAACAATTACCCTGGATTCTCAATCTGTTTCCTAGTGCTAGTTTGAAGTTCCTGCACTTTTAACTACAAAACCGAGTTGGAGCTAGTACCTACCGATATATATGTTTGTAGTGTAGTTACCAACTGGAAAGAAACTTTGTGTTCCCAACAAGCTAGGTGAAGGACTGCTTTCATACACAATTATCTCTCAGAAATGAGCATGTGGAGAGATGTTAGATCATCTAGCACAAAGGGATCGGGTTGCAAGGGAAACTCTTACTCTGGTTTCTCAGTCTGTTTCCTAGTGCTGGTTTGAAGTTCCTGCAGTTTTCACTATAAAACTGAGTTTGAGCTAATACCTCCACATATATAGGTATGTAGTGTAGATTACAGGAGAAAATATATGTTGTTTCCCAAGAAGCTTGCTGAAGGAAGGCTTTCAGAAACACTATCTCTCAGAAATTACTATATGGAAAAAAGTTCATTCCTCTAGCACAAAGTGAACGGGATACAGGGGATACTCTTTCTCTGGTGTCTCTGTCTGTTTCCTAGTGCAGCTTTGAAGTTCCTGCAATTTTCACTGTAAGACCGAGTTGGAGCTAGCACTTCCCATATATATGTATGTTTTGTATTTTCCAAATGAAAACAATCTTTGTGTTCTCAACAAGATAGTTGAAGGTCTGCTTTCACACAAAATTTTCTCTCAGAATTGAGCATGTGGAAAGATGTTAGATCATCTAGCAAAAAGGGATCACATTGCAGGAGAAACACTTACTCTGGTTTCTCAGTCTGTTTCCTAGTGCCTGTTTGAAGTTCCTGCAGTTTTCACTATAAAATCGAGTTGGAGCTTGTACCTCCTCATATATATGTATTTAGTGTAGTTTCCAGTGGAATAGATACATACTTCCAGGAAGCTTCTTCAAGGAAGGCTTTCAGAAACAATTTTCTCTCAGAAATGATATGTGGAAAAACGTTCATTCATCTAGCACAAAGGGAACATGATGCATGAGATATAGTTTCTATGGTGTATCTGTCTGTTTCCTAGTGCTGCTTTGAAATTCCTGAAGTTTTCACTGTAAAACCGAATTGGGGCGAGTACTTACCCATATATATGTTTTTATTGTACTTTCCAACTGAAAAGAAACTTTGTCTTTTCAACAAGCTAGGTGAAGTGCGGCTTTAACATACACCAATCTCTCAGAACTGAGCATGTGGAGAGACGTTGTTTCAACTAGCACATAGGGAACGGTTTGCAGGAGAAACACTTACTCTGGCTTCTCAGTCTGTTTCCTAGTGCTTGTTTGAAGTTCATGCAATTTTCACTGTAACCGATTTGGAGCTAGTACATCCCATATATATGTTTGTATTGTAGTTACCAACTGGAAAGGAACTTTGTGTTCCCACAAGTTAGGTGAATGACTGCTTTCACACACACTTATCTCTCAGAACTGAGCATGTGGAGAGATGTTTGATCATCTAGCACAAAGGGATTGGGTTGCAATAGACACACTTACTCTGGTTTCTCAGTCTGCTTCCTAGTGCCGGTTTGAATTTCCTGCAGTTTTCACTGTAAAACTGAGTTGGAGAAAGTACTTCCCAATATATATGTTTTTATTGTACTTTCCAACTTAAAGGAAACTTTGTGTGCTCAATAAACTAGGTGAAATAAGGCTTTGACATAAACGTATCTCTCAGAATTGAGCATGAGGAGAGATGATATATGATCTAGCACAAGGGGATCGGGTTGCAGGAGAAACACTTACTCTTGTTTCTCAGTCTGTTTCCTAGTGCCAGTTTGAAGTTCCTACACTTTTCACTGTTAACAGATTTGGAGCTAGTATCTCCTGATGTTTATATTTGTAGTATAGTTAACACCTGTAAAGAGACTTTGTGTTCCCAACAATGTAGGTGAAGGACTGCTTTCACACACAAATAAACCTCAGAACTGAGCATTTGGAGAGACGTTCATTCATATAGGACAAAGGGAACGGTTTGCAGTAGAAACACATTGTCTGGTTCCTCAGTCTGTTTCCTAGTGCTGATTTGAATTTCCTGCAGATTTCACTGTAAATCCTAGTTGGAGGTAGTACTTCCCCATATCTACTTATGTACTGTAGTTTGTAACTGAAAAGAAACTTTGTATTCCCAACAAGTATGGTGAGGAAGTGCTTTCACACACAGTTATCTCTCAGAAATGAGCATGTGGAGAGACGTTCATTCATCTAGCACAAATGGAAAGGGTTGCAGTAAAAACAATTTCTCTGGTGTGTCAGTCTGTTTCCTACTGCTGGTTTGAAGATATTGCGGTATTGACTGTAACTGAGTTGGAGCTAGTATATACCCATATAAATGTAAGTAGTGTAGGTTCCACTGAAAAGAACCTTTGTGTTCCGAACAAGATAGGTGAAGGACGAGTTTCACACACACGTATCTCAGAAGACTGATCATGTGGTTAGATGTACATTAATGTAGCACAAAGAGAACAGGTTGCAGGTGAAACAATTACTCAGATTTCTAAGACTGCTTCCTAGTGTAGGTTTGAAGTTCTTCATTTTTCTCTTTGAAACCAAGTTGGAGCTAGTACCACACCATATATAAGTATGTAGTGTAGTTACAAACTGTAAAGTAATGTTGTGTTCCCAACAAGCTTGTTGTCGGATGGCTTTCACACTCACTTATGTCTCAGAAATTATCTTGTGGAGAAACATTCATTCATTTAGCACAATTGGGATCATGTTGCATGGGAAAATTTAAACTGGTTTCTCAGTCTGTTTCCTAGAGCCTGTTTGATGTTCTTGAATTTTTCACTGTTAAAACGTGTTGGAGCTAGTACCTCCACATATATATGTATGAATTGTAGTTCCCAACTGAAAAGAAACTTTGTGTTGCAAACAAGCTTGGGGAAGGAAGACTTTCACACACACTTATTCTCAGAACTGAGCATGAGGAGAGACTTTCGTTCATCTAGCACAAAGGGAACAGGTTGCAGGAGAAACACTTACTCTGGATTCTCAGACTGATTTCTAGTCCTGGTTTGAAGTTCCTGCAGTTTTCAATGTAAAACAGATTTGGATCTAGTACTTCCCAGTATATATGTATGTATTGTACTTTCCAACTGAAAAGAATCTTTGTGATCCCAACAAGCTTTTTTAAGGAAGGCTTTCACACACACTTACCTCTCAGAATGGAGCATGTGGAGAGACATTCGTTCATCTAGCACAAAGAGAACTCTTT